TCAAAATACAATAAAATTCACAACAAGTGTGTTTATTTATTATTATTTAATCTTATTTTATTCTATCTTATTTTATTCTAATTTAATTTTTCGCTGTGGTTCCTTTTATCTTATTACGTATTTTAAATAAGTTTATGATATACGTTTGTAGCTAAGATTTTAAACCTCTTTTATTTCATTTCTTTAAATTACACGCCTTTGTACTACCCAAAACATGGCGGAGGGTCACGTGACTGGGTCCATGTTTCAAACCAACATTCCCCCTCCATGTCTATATACTCATTACTCAAAGATCGGAACACAGGGCTTGTCGTGGGTTATTGCAGGTTATGGTCACGATTGCGTCAGAAGCATGAGGGTGCGATGACTATGTACTCGCACCATTGCACGTGTAACTCGTCCTATAAAAGAAAGAAGAAGCAGCACGTGTAATTCGTTCCTACCTACGATTAATTAGGATAAGGACGTTCTTGATAAGGTGACAAGGAAAAAAGACTGAACGAATGAGGTCTAACGTGTGCTCATTCGTCGTACGTTCGTTGACTTTACAATGTCACATTATAAAGCATAACTATCGAACGTTGCTACCATCGCTCTTCCTGGTCGGGCACAACTTTCGGCGAAACCTGTCGATTCCCAAGCGATTCTCATCGTCTCGCTACAATCAGATCATGCCGCGCTCCGTCGAGCATATGCTCGGCATGCAAAGGATGAGGCAGAAGATTAAGGAAAAGTCGGCAAAGTATATCGGCAACACGAAGGTGTCGTTGCAGGTCGGTGTGCACGACGGAGTCATTTCGATGCTCGCAGTAGTTTACCTACATGGCACAGATCATTGTAGCAACATTGCAATGTTTCAGTAATATTGTAACAATATTGCAACGTTACAGCAATGCTGATGCAAGTTTCTGTGCTGTATGAGATAATGTCGAATGAATTTCTCACTTGCAGATTCTGGGCAGTGGAGCCTATGGCACATCACGATGCGTTTACCTGACGGCCGGTCACACCAGGTACATCTTCAACTGTGGTGAGGGCACACAGAGGCTGGCGTATGAGCACAAGTACAAGCTGATCAAGCTGGAGCATGTGTTCATCACGTCGGCGACCTGGAGCAACTTGGGTGGCATGCCAGGGATGCTGTTGACGATACAGGATGCCGGGGTCCCAAAGATGAACGTGCACGCGCCTAAGGGGACGATGGAGATATTCAACACGATCAAGAAAATTGTGCTGCTGCCGATTCTGAAGATTCACGAGGCCAAGTGTGACGAATCAGAGCCGTATGTAGATCCAGTGATGTCCGTCTCGTATGTTTGCATTACAAAACCAGATGTGCAGAAAGCAGAGCCTATTGATGTAGGTGAGGAGGTGGTCGATAACATCAACTACTATGACTATAACAATAAGATCAATTCGAATGGCAAACGAGTATCTGATAGGACAGTGGAGATGGAGCCAAAAATACAGAAGATCGAGCAAAAGCAGGAAGACAAGAATAGGATATCGACTGTGACGTCCTACATTTGCAAATTGCATCCTCGTGCAGGCACGTTGTGCTACGACAAATGTGTGGAGAAGGGGGTGAAGGAGGGTCCTCTGTTAGGTCAACTCAAAGCGGGAGTAGATATTACTCTTCCCGACGGCACAGTTGTTTTGAGCAAAGACGTTTGCTCGCCCGCAACGCCAGGTCCTACTTTTATAGGTTGGCAAATCCTTATTTTATTTAAGTTTTCAAAGGAACTTTCTCTCTCTCTCTCTCTCTTTCTCTCTCTATGTATGTATGTATGTATATACACTGTGCAAAAAAATTATGGCATAAAAAAATTTTGAGCAAAAATTGGTCAACTTTGGTTAACGGTAACTCCGCGAAAAATCATCGTAAAATAATGAACTTTTTTTTCAAATGAAAGCTTGAAATCTCTACTTTGAGGTACTGTGAGTCGATTTTAAATTTAATGCACCCTTGTTATCGTAAACTCTTAAATCTAAGAGCATGTTTGCTACACTGAAAATTGTAAAGTTTGAACAAATGCACGGCCTTGCTAAAATGTTTCTCGGGGATGCGATTTTCAGCGTCATAAAGTTGGAATCTTCCTCTTTAATTTGAAAAAAAAAAGTCGCTACGATTTTTTTCACAAAGTTACAGCATTTTGAAGTAACCCTTGTATTTTTCTTATGTATGATTAACATTACTCGATGTGCACTATAGGTAGGT